TTAAATAAACTTAAAAGAAAAAAAAAGCTTTGAGAAGGCTGTCATTAAACAGCAAGAAGAAAACTTACTTTTGTTTAATGTGACATTTCCTGGACATTTTTTAAAAATGTAAACTGAAAAAATTGTAATATATATAGTATATAACATAAAATTTACTGTTTTAACCATTTTTAAGAGTACAGTTCAGTGGCATGAAGTATATTCACATTGTTGTGCAACCATCACCACCATCAATCTCTCAAACTTTTTATCTTCCTAAACTTATATATACCTTTTAAATATTCCCCATTTTCCTCTCCCTCCAGCCCCTGGCATCCACCATTCTACTTTGTGTCTCTATGAATTTGACTACTCTAGGTACTTCATATGAGTGCAATCATACGATTTGTCTTTTTGTGACTTTTTTCATTTAGCATGATCTCAGGGTTCACCCATGTTATAGAATATGTCAGAATTTTCTTCCTTTCTAAGGCTGACGAATATCCCATTGTATGTATATACCGCATTTTGTTTATCCATTTTCTACCATGTATTTTTAATGACTATGTGGTATTCTATTGTATGTATTTGCCTTGGCACACCACCACTGATGGATGTGTAAGTTACGTTCAGATTTTCAGTATAACAAACAATCCTGAGATAAATATTTTTGCATAGTTATCTCCTAAGAGCAAATCCTACAAGTAGGGTTGCCCAAAGGATACTCATTATACTTTGAGAGACATTGCCACATTACCATCTAAAAACTGTCAGTTTACATTCCCTTCTGTGCGTGAGCTCCGTTCTCTGAACCCTACCAACCTTAGGTTTTAAAAATCTTTGATCTTTGCACAACTGATCAGAGAAAATAACTTGTTTTCATCTGTGTTGGGAATATCTTTGTCTTAGAAATCAAATCTACCTTCAAGTGATAATTTGCTGCTCTTAAGTGATTTAAAACATGTTCTTTTGGTTCTGAAGAGTAGCGTTGGGATAGGTTGCTTAGTGTCCCAAGGTGACAGTTTTGAAGGGCACATTGAAGAGAAGCTCTTGTGTCTGTATTCATAGAAAAAAAGGCATTCCTTTCTGTATGATCACACTACACATGCTCACGTATGACTTATCCCTACTACAAAATTATACAGTCCTTGGAAGTCAGACATCAACCGTTACTGAATTTCTGCCGTGTGGAAGATCCTTTATTGCCAGAAGGGATGTGGTGGTGTGGCTCCTGTCCTTGTGGAACTTAGTCTGAATCCTCAAGTACATGTCATGGGATGTGGAAGGCACGTTTTCCAGGGCAGACTTGTGGGAATTCCCTGTCAGAACTGGTATTGAATAAATATTTGTTGAGCGAATCATACTTGTATGAAGTCACAGTATACTAAGTATGAAGTAAACTTGTATGAAGTCGTAGTATACTAATAGAGAAGATATCTGCTCCTGTTGGGATATTTTGGGGCCTCTGTACCAGAAGGATAAAGTTAGGGAATCGGTGTGTGCCTTCAGAAGTATTTGCCCATAACTCTTTTCCTCATAAGAGGTGATGGAGCAGATCCATTTTCTTAAAAAAAAAAAAAAGATTCTGTTGAGGGTACTTCAGTACACTTTTGTTGCTTTGCCCTTTGACTTGTCAGTGCCTGTTAAATGTGTGGCTTCTCACCAAAGTCCTTGTTTTTGTAGGGGAGAATTGTTCAATATGAAATTGAAAGCACCTGCCATTCTGCTCGGGCCTCATTGCCTTACCCCCACAGGGGAGACACTGTGCTGGCTACAAGGATGTTTGCAGCTTTGGCCATCTGTGATGCTATGATTTTGTTACAAAACAAATAGTCAAATACTTTATAAGTAATTCCGTGGTTGTATACATCTCTTTGTGGTATCGTAATTACTTTTACAAGTGAAATTTCAGTGTTCCCCTTTAATTCTGTAATGGTTTTCTGATTAAAACACTTAAAATGTTAGGCTGACATTAACATTTCTGAAACTCAGAAATGTGACACTTGGAGAAATCTCCTTGTAAGGATTAGGAAATACAGTAGGGCTGTTTTAGGGTGTAAACTTTTTGATTCAGCGATACCTTACTTTGGCATTTCCCAGTAGCCTCAGTGTAATAGAACTACTCCATGAATATATTTGAAGGAAAAAATGAAGATTAGTATAATTCTTTGATTAGAGGTGCTCCTCAGTTAAATTTTCTCTTAATCTCAGTATCTTTATTTTTTAAAAAAAATTTTTTTTTTCAACGTTTATTTATTTTTGGGACAGAGAGAGACAGAGCATGAACGGGGGAGGGGCAGAGAGAGAGGGAGACACAGAATCGGAAGCAGGCTCCAGGCTCTGAGCCATCAGCCCAGAGCCCGACGTGGGGCTCGAACTCACGGACCGCGAGATCATGACCTGGCTGAAGTCGGACGCTTACCCGACTGCGCCACCCAGGCGCCCCGAAGTATCTTTATTTTTAAGATCTACCACGTGATATCAGTATAATGTGTTACTAGACAAAAATTTATAAAACCTCAGTCTTTATAATGATTTATTAACTAGATTTCCCCCTTTGTTCCATTTCTAGGAGAAAGAAATGACAAGAAATCTGGTGTTAGAGGTCTTTCTAAAAATAAATACCTTCTAGGACTGTTCTAGGAACATACTCAATCCAGCTTTCATGTTCCTTGCATCTCATAATAATTTTAAAGGAGGTGGAAGGTGACCCAGGTGACTTGTGGAGTCCTCTGTCAAAAAGGAAGCACACATTTATTTTACGTGCTGTGAACTTACTAAAGAAGGATGAGATGTTGATATATTTTAGGATTATTTTTAACAAGAATTGAAAGCTGAAGTTAGTAGTGATTATTTTTACCATAATCATTATTATTATTAATAGCTACTATTTAATTATGTGTCAGGTGTTCTTTAGAGCACTTTACCTGCATTATCTCTTATATATCCTCTTATCCTTGGGATCCCCATTTTATAAATGAAAAAAGAAAACAGGCTCAGAGGTTAAGTTTATTTTGACCAGGATCACATAGCTAGCAAGTGACAGGGTTAAGATTTGAACCCAGTCCTGCCTGCGCATCCTCATCCTAACCAGTGTTCTGTACTACAGTACTCTCCCCTTATGCTCAGGGGTATATTCCAAGACCCGCAGTGGATGCCGAAAACCATGGCTAGTACCAAACCCTGTAAATACTATTTTTTCTCCTACTCGTACATACCTATGATAAAATTTAATTTTCAAATTAGACATGGTAAGAGACTAGCAGCAATAATAAAACAGATCAATTATAACAATAAACTGTAATAAAAGTTATGTGAATGTGGTCTGTCTCTCAAAATACCTTATTATACTATACTCAACCTTCCTGTGATGTCAGATGATAAAATGCCTGTGTGATGTGGGGCGCCTGGGTGGCTTAGTTGGTTAAGCGTCCGACTCTTATTTCGGCGCAGGTCATGATCTCAGGGTTTGTGGGATTGAGCCCTGTGCCAGGCTCCGTGCTGACAGCATGGAGCTTGTCTGGAATTCCCTCCCCCCCCCCTTTCTCTCTCAAAAACAAACAAAGAAAAAGCCTATGTGATGGTATGAAGCACACTGAATGACATAGGTATTGTGACATAGCGTTAGGCTACTATCGTTGATCTCTGACAGTATGTCAGAAGGAGGATCATCTGCTTTTGGGCCAAGTTTGACCACAAGTAACAAACTGCAGAAAATGAAACCACAGATAAGGGGAGACTACCATGTTTTCTTTGCTGAGTATTGGCATTTAATTGAGGAGGTACCATCTTGTTCCCAGAAGAAACATCATTTTAGTTTCAACAGGATTCAGGAAGCAGTTCTTAGAGTGAGGTTTCTAAAATAAGAAATTAATTGGGGGGGGGCACCTGGGTGGCTCAGTCAATTAAGTGTCTGACTTCTGCTCAGGTTATGATCTCATGGTTCTTGAGTTCAGGCCTCACATCGGGCTCTCTGCTGTCAGCATAGAGCCTGCTTTGGATCCTCTGTTCTGTCCCCCTCTCTCTCTGCCCCTCCCTTACTCATGCTCTCTCTCTTTCTCTTTTTCAAAAATAAACCATTACAAAAAAGAAAAAAGACTAAAAAAATTAAAAAGCAATTAATTTTTGGTAGCAAAGAAGTTCGATTAATAAAGTTTATTTTTTTATTATTTTATTTCTGTAACCTTTTATTTTTTTCAATTTATTTTTGATAGAGAATGAGCGCAAGTGGAGGAGGGGCAGACAGGGGGACAGAGGATCCGAAGCAGGCTTCACGCTCACAGCAGCTGGCCCAATAATGTAGGGCTCGAACTCACAAACCGAACTGTGAGATCATGATCCGAACTGAAGTTGGACACCTAACCAACTGGGCCACCCAGGCATCTCTGATAAAGTTTATTTGAAAAGCATAATGTTACCTTAAATCAGAAGAAAGGAAAATGTATTTATTGAACAAAACTACTTTGGTGGTACATTTTTGCAAAATTCCTAGTAACTCAAAGTATTGTCTGTGTTCTTTTAGTTACCTCACAGCCCTATGACAAAGAGGGGGAAATGTAAACTAAAGAAATACAGTTTCATACCCGAGCTCATAATGTGAGGAAAATACAACTTGTTCTCCCTGACCTTATAAAGTAATGAGAAGACTGCATGGGAATAAAGGGAGAAAGAAAGGCAAATTTATTGTTTTAACAGTAATTATGTGTTTTGAGTGGCCTAAGGAGTCACTATTATTTGTTTTGCAAGAGAAGAAGCCATTCTCACTGATATCATGGAGATCTCATTGACTAGAGCTGTAGCTCCCAGTGCTTATAAGGATTTCCTTTCAGCTTAGACTTAATCCTTGTAAGCTCCTAGGTGCAGGGATAAATGTTGATTTTCAAGGTAGCATTTTACCACATTGATTTGTTTGAAAAATGATTCAGTCATTTTCTTCCTTATTCTTAAATATTGCTGTGTACATCATGTTTCTAGGGAGGTGAGCACGTGAAACAATATGAAGAGGAGAAAATAGCCTTTTAAGGAGATTGGCCCACAGAAAGGATGGCCTTCTTGGACAATCCAACTATCATTCTAGCTCATATTCGACAGTCACATGTGACCAGTGATGACACAGGAATGTGTGAGATGGTTCTCATTGATCATGATGTTGACCTAGAGAAGATTCATCCTCCTTCAATGCCTGGAGACAGTGGGTCAGAAATTCAGGGAAGCAATGGTGAGACTCAGGGCTATGTATATGCCCAGTCAGTCGATATTACCTCAAGTTGGGACTTTGGTATTAGAAGACGCTCAAATACAGGTAAACATTGCCTTTTAGTCATGTCTTCTGAGCTTTAAATCAGTCAACAATCTTACAGAATAATGCATAATGTTGGAATAGCTTTAATGGGGAAGATTTCTGTGTGTTAACAGGAACATGCATGTGTTACAGTAAGAGCGAGTCTAAACACCATCTCCGTCTTCGTGACTGTGAATGGAGAGTGGCACTGGAATGATGTTATCAGAAGGAAGTAGAAGATGAATAGAGGAAAAAGGTGGCTAGGAGAGGCAGGTTGGATGTTCTCTTTCTAAAAAGTCTTCATGTAGAAAGGGAAGTGGACTTACTTTGAGTATCTTCACAGAGCAACATTAGTCCCAGTGGGTAGACTACCTAGTGGCAGGTTTCAGGTTGACATAATAAAGAACCTTTAATATAGAAAGCTGACCAGCCACAGAGTACTGCTGCCAGAGCCATTTCTTGGCCATGGAAGGATTGTGGGAGGCAAAGGGATGTTGGAGGTAAATAGCTGAATATTTGTTTGGGCTGCTGTTAATAGGAGTTGCTACACTGAGTGTGAGATTAGAAAAGGTGCCCCTGTTTTTGATATGTTCTTTTTATTTTCTTAAGTTGATCTCTACCATTTGATCTTTGTGGTTTGAAAATGCTAAACTTTGGTACATAAATATTTAGTGATTATCTTTTAAAAGCTTATCACTGGCCGTGTTCCAGCTTATGTGTTTTGGAAACCTTTCAAAGGGAATGTGATGAACTAAGACCTTTACTTAGATAAATTATTTAGAACATATAATGTAGTTCTAATATGACAGGGTATTCTAGGAGGTGATTTTTTTATTTAGGTCATCAGAAAATATAATCTCCTACTAATCAGTAGCAGTGACCTGCTAACTCCCAGGAAACGTAATGGCAGGAAATGTGGTAGAACATTGAAAAGGTTTACATGTTTATTTTCATGGTCCAAATGTAAAATTCACGTAAAGGAGTACTGCAGGATACAATATACAGTGCAAAGCATGTTAAGGTTTTGGTTCAGAATTCAGCATTCTGTGACATCTACAAAGAATAATTTGCTCTCATGATGAAAATAATTAATAGCATTTCCCAGTATCTCAAGGAATTTTTATCAAAATAGGATTTGAGTGAAGGTTTGAATATAATTTAGAACCATTGATTCTCAGTTCTCTAGTCGAAACTGACTTCCTTGCAAGTTATTGAGATGATATCTTGTATGACAGGTTGAATGGATTTCAGTAGGAGAATGCTGCTAAATTGAGAGCTTTATGATTATATTACTTTGGCTGTACCCTTCACATTTATTAATTGCAATTGAATGCATTTTCCTCCAGTGGAATTTGGTTAGATACAGTGACATTATCAGATGCTTTGCCAGCACAGTTTACATTTCTGGCAAGGTTAGTATCAGTGGTAGTTTCCCTATCACAATGCCAAGGCAGGTGTGTATGGTTTCCTGCCTTGAAAGAGAAATTTACTTATTTATTTTTTGTTAGCATTGTGCCAGGATAGGAAGTTGAAGATTAGCCAGATCTCAAGAAATGGCATCAATTATGACTTTCTTTTCCATTGTGGTTTCCATATGCAGCAGTTGTTAATATATGCTGGACAGTATTTCTTTAAGAGATCAATTCACTGATTTTTGAAGGTTGATCAGCCAGTGGTAATATGATCTCACAAATGTAGGATTTTTAGGTGATGCTTTTGTTACTGTTGTTGGAATTTCTTAAGATAGCACTTAGATGCTAATACTTACAATTGTGGGGTGTCCTAGTGACCAAAGGTTTTACTTTTTAATCCTTTCAGCATATCTTAAAATTTTGTATAAGAAAAATTATTCTTTTTAAGGTTTGACTAATGTTACAAAGATACAAATCATTTATTTTACTACCTATAAACTGTTTCAACCCACTGAAGAAAAGCTATGCTAATTTATATAGCTTTGACATTTTATAATTTTCATGATTTTTAGATAAAGGATTTTATATTTAAAACTTTAATAGTCTAGTCTGAGTTCATTTATCTTTAATTTTTGAAACGGGTAGAGTAATTCATAACAGTAATTTTATTCCTGTAATGTAATATTCACTTCAGTTCATTTGTGCATTAAAATTCCTTTAAGACCGTTATTAATGATTTATATAATGAAATGTCATATTAATCACAGAAGTTTTCACATTTTATTATTCTCTTCCATGTTAATACTATCTTTATGATCTCTATTAATGTTTTATATCCTCTAATTTCAATTATAAATCAAGAATATTTTCATGTTTTTGTTGGTATTTGCTTTTCAGGGGTGCCACCTTTAAAATTTTATGACTTTTTCTCTACATATGCAATATAAAACATCTTTATTCATATAAAGGTAGTTAATTATGTCTTTGTTTATAGTAAACTTTCATTGACAAACTTATAGTTATAATATTTCTTTTCAAGCTCAAAGATTAGAACGACTCCGAAAAGAGAGACAAAACCAGATCAAATGCAAAAATATTCAGTGGAAAGAAAGAAATTCTAAGCAATCAGGTAAATGGAAATAATTTTAATTGTTAATTTGAGATTTATATATGTAGTTTATATTATTATATGAGAGCTTTATTTTTAATTCATCTTTTTAAATCCTCTGAGCAGATACCTCTTGTTTTGAGCTTTGAATGCTTTCACTGGGGTGCCTTTGCCCTCTGAAGCTGTGTGTTCATTTAGGTCTTGTGTTTTTGGTCACTCTTCATTCTGGGTCACAGGAATAGATGTGTGCAAGGCACATTTTGTACAAACTCTCATGCCAGCACCTTGTTCTTAAAGCCAAGGAATACCTATGGTTTGGATGGGCCTCTGGGTTATAGATTTCCTCCTGGCAGTTCCAACCTTGACTTTCTCTTGCCTCATTAGTGACCCCAGTAATAATCTTTTTTGCATATATGCTGATTCTTTTCCTTTAGCTTAACAAGCATTATGTTGCGGGTATTATCAGCATTTGTAGTCTGTGTTCATATGGTATATGTATTAAAAAGCTGGCCATATTACATATTTTCAAATCTTCAATCTCATCAAGAACACCTAAAAAAAAAAGCTATTGAAATATTTTCTAACGTTTATATCGTGTGTCCTAGACTTTCTTTTTTTCTTCTTTCAAAGTAATGTCTGCACTCTGTTTTCTCTCTTCCAGCACCTACTAACCACCATCCTGGCATGAAATAGATGTCCACTCAATTTTTGTTGACTGACTCCATTGCTACATAGTATTTATAAAACTAACAATATTAGTGATTATTGTATTAACATCAGCACCTACCTAGTGCTATTCTGAGCCCTTTACACGCATTACCTCCAATGTAATGATCTTAAAAGATATAGATATTGCTGTGGTTAACAGATGAGACAGAGACTCAGTGAGCTTTCACTTGCTAACGTTACAAGGCTAGAAAGCGGTAGTGCCGTGGAGCCGTATTTTGTAGATACCACTGTCTGAAGCTAAAGGCCAACCTCTTTCTGCTAAACCACACCGTATAAAGTGGTTATTGCTGTCTCCTGCTGTGGTTGTAAACCCAGGTGTGCTCAGTCGGCATGATTTTCTTAATAGTTGCGTCTAAGTGACAGCTGTGTAAACCAGAAATCTCATTCACTTCTTTCTTATGTCTCCTTTCTGTGACTTCTATAGTTCTCATGGAATGTCTATTTAGTTTTGCTCTTAATACTTAAAAAAAAAAAATCTCTCCAGGCTGGTCTTTTCTGTTGATCCAGTTAATACTTCTCTCTGTTGTATTTTTCAAACTGAAAACCTTTATATTGTTTATCTTGTTCACTTTTTTCAAATTTTTCATATATCTTGATGCTTTTTCTGTTAATTTCTTCTTAATGAGTATAGAGCCAGTTTATCTAAACTCATCTTTCCAGGTACCCTCTGTTTTGCTTTCTTTGCTTCCTTATCTTAAAACAATTACAAATAAAAAAATAGGATGAATAGAGTACCTCAGATATAACAGCATTAATCCCCTTTGCAATGTGAGAAATAAATTCTTCAACTTAAATTTTGATACATCTACTAATCAGACACATCTAATAAATTTTGATACATTTCCCACTCGTTCCTTAAAGTCTAATCCACTTTAACTTCTGTTCAGTGTTTCACAGAATGTGCTGGATTGGGGCGCCTGAGTGGCTTAGTTGGTTAAGCATCTGACTTCAACTCAGGTCATGATCCCATGGTTCGTGGGTTTGAGCCCTGCATCGGGCCCTGTGCTGACTGCATGAAGCCTGCTTGGGATTCTCTCTCCCTCCCTTACTCTCTGCCCGTCCCCCACTCGTGCTCATGCACGTGTTCTCTCTCTCAAATAAATATTAAAAAAAAAAAAAAAAGAATGTGCTGGAGAAATAGTCTCCTTTTTGCTTTCATTTGGAGCCATACCATTCATTATTTGTGTATACTTCTCTCTCCCTCATTTTCCATCTCTCTTATTTCTGTCTCTCACAGATTTCAGTAATTGACCCTGTGATCTTATTGCTGAAAAAGTTCCTTCTTTTATTTTTTTTTTTTTAAATTTTTTTTTTCAACGTTTTTATTTATTTATGGGACAGACAGAGACAGAGCATGAACGGGGGAGGGGCAGAGAGAGAGGGAGACACGGAATCGGAAACAGGTTCCAGGCTCCGAGCCATCAGCCCAGAGCCTGACGCGGGGCTCGAACTCACGGACCGTGAGATTGTGACCTGGCTGAAGTCGGACGCTTAACCGACTGCGCCACCCAGGCACCCCAAAAGTTCCTTCTTAATATACCTGGCCACTCTCTGAAATGTTGACCTTGCTTCTGGCCAGGCCAGTGAACTTTGTCAGTGCACAGAGGAATGAATGGTCTTGAATTCTCTGTTCACGTGGGTTCCACCATTACCACAGGTTGGCACTCTGGGTGTCCTGAAATGTGTTAGAAAAGTGGAGCCAGCAGTCCATTACACAGCTACCTGGCAAACTGAGCAGCTACTTTGTTTTTGTTTTCACACATTTCTCAAGCACATACTCTTTTTTTTTTTTTTTTTTTTTTTTTTTTTTTTTTTTTTTTTTTTTTTTTTGGCAAGGAATGCCACAGCCAGATCTTTTTAATCTTAATTGGGAATTTTGGTTAGGTAATCATTTATTCATTCCCTCATTCTTTATCTGCTGTTTACATTTTGTTAAAATCCTTTCGTCTGTTTTTCTTATCTTTGTTTTATTTTATTCCCTACTAGAAGAATCATTATTATGAATATGATGACCTCCCCTGGAATGTTTTTCTTCCACTGTTATTCTGTCTGAATCCAGTCCATCCTTTAATACAGCAGAAATGCAGCCTTTTCATTGAAGAGTTGGAAGAGATCTGAGAAGCCTTCTGGTCCACACCCTGAAGTTCTTTATGAACTTTGTATATATACTTTATGTGCCCTGAGACCACATGATAAATGGAATACCTTAGACTAAGATCCTTGTAGTATTTCTGTAGCCAGAACTGTATGGATAAATGTGAAGATGGTTATTGGAAGATGGCTTTGTCAGGAACAGTGTCAAATCAAGCCTCGGTATTTTAAATTTTATTGTTTAAAAAAAAATTTTTTTTAGTGTTTTATTTATTTTTGAGAGAGAGAGAGACAGAGCATGGATGGGGGTGGGGGGCAGAGAGAGGGGGAGACACGGAATTTGAAGCAGGCTCCAGGCCCTGAACTTCAGCACAGAGCCTGATGCGGGGCTTGAACTCACGAGTTGTGAGATCATGACCTGAGCCCAAGTCGACTGCTTAACTGACTGAGCCACCCAGGCGCCCCTTAATTTTATTGTTTTAAAATGGTGTTGGTATATTCTTTATAAAATGTATTATTACCCTTATTCACTGACTCATTTAACAAACATTTCTTTCATACCTTCTGTGTGCATCTTAACTCTATGCTAGGTGCTTGGAGGAATATGCGACTCCTGTCCTCAAGAAGTTTGAAGTCTAATGGGAAGACAAAGGCATTTACACATAAAGTCAAATAGTAACTCAAAAACAATGTAGTGTAAATCAGTTATTTATGAATATTCCTGAAGTTTTCTTTATGTAACTTCTAGTACTGATTTCTTAAAACAACAGTTTGCAGATATAGTGGCTGAGTAAAAATCAGAAATACATCTAAAAGTGCATGTTATAATGGCTTCTGCATAAATTTCTAGCCATATATGTGGAATTCCTGATTCAGAAGATAGGGATTGGGGTCCGTCTATATTTTTCAGAAGCTCCCTGGGTGATTCTTATGAGTAACCATTACTGGGAATCGCTGGTATATAATATGCCAGCCACTAAGTTTGCTTCATCTTAACACAAATCCAGCAAATTAGCTATTACTATTTCTGTGTTATATGTGAGAAAACTGGACCCCGGAGGCTAAGTAACTTTTTCACATTACTTACTTACAAATAGTAAATGTCAAAGCCAGAATTCTCTTGGCCAGTCTGACCCCGAAGACTATAATCTTCTTGCTGCCTCCTAGTCTCTCCAGTACGGTTGGCAGAAAGGAGCTGCTCTGGAGCTTTGGGTGTTGAGGATTCCCTGTTCCCTTGTTCCTTTCCTCCTCTGTGTCAGCGATGGCCAACGTTCGGGAAAGTTTTATTGAAAGAAAATGTTGTTATAGGAAATCTGAAGCAAAATATGAAAATGAAAATAAGCTACCAATAGTCTCATATTTGGAGGAATTGCTGTTAACATTTTGATGTATTTATTCTAGATTCTGTTTATATAAGTATATTTATTTTAAATATTCTAAACATACATCTTATCTTTTTTGTATTTTTTTGTATATACAAGTAGTACATAAATGCACCGTTTTGTCTTCTTGTCTCCATGGTGTTCCTGCACTTTTACATTTATTAAGGTTATTTCCAGATGTTTTGCATTTTGTGTTGCCCTTGTAATTAGCATCCTCTTCCCCGTAACTTTCTTACTGCTCTTGTGAAGAAATCTGTTGTTTTTATATATCCGTTTTGTAGCCAGCCACTCACTGAATCCTTAGAAGTTCTGATATGCATTACCATCTTCCTGAAGGCTATAGTATGTGCTTTCTCATAAGACTGATGGTAATTACATTTCTAGGCTATTGTTTTTTCAGTTCCCTGTTTGTTGGGGACTTCCAACTGTTTCTAGTGGTTAGAACTCTTCAGCTGCAAATGATAAAGAGAAGTGATGTTGAAAAGCAGCTTGCAGTAGAGCAACTCAGGAGGTACAACTGTGTCTTATGAGTGGCTTAGAACCAGGAGGAAAGGCTCTCATTACCAACCCCTGTCTCATTTCTACTTCTTTGTGCCCATTTGCTCCTTCCTCCCTCTCTTCTGCCTCCCTATCCCCACAGCTACTTTTTCTTCTTCTCTGGTCCACAGTTAATCATTTAACAAGTATTTCTTGAGCTCCTACAATATGCAGGGGCAGCTAGGCACTTGTAGACTTAGAAGATACAGCAGTGAACAAGACAAAGTCCCTGCCTCATGGATCTTGTGGGGGAAATAGACAGGAAGCAAACCTAGTATTGTC